GGGGCTCGGTGTACGCTGGGCCTTATCGGCGTCGAGCTCCGCCGCCTTCAGCCTCATCTGCGCTGCCAGTTCTGCGTCCCGAGCGGCGGTGAGCATCTTCTTGGCCTTGCTGACGTAGGCTTCCTGGCGCTCCTGCCTCTGCCATGGGTCCTTGGCCATGATGACCTGGCAGAGGATGGCGGCGTGCTCGCGTTCGGCCTGGTCCAACCTCTTCTGGTCGGGCTCTGGCAGTCCTCTGATCGCTCTGACTCTGCCCTCTGCCGCAAGCAGCGCCTTGCGCAGGGGCTCGAAATTGTTTGAGCCCAGCAGCGAGCGGGGGCGGCTGCACCCGCGCCTTGTGCTTCTTGGCCTCCATGGGTAGCAGCGGCAGGACGCCCATGGGGCCCTTGCCCGCTGCCTGCTGCGCCGTTCATGATGACTCCTTCTGGCTCCACTGCGCCTGGCTGCGTTCACCTCCTCCCCGCCGGCGGCTGTGCTGCCTCGGGGCGCCGCCGTTTGCCTTCCACGGCGGCAAGGTCCTTTTCTTCTCCCCGCAATTTCGGCAAGTGCTGCGGCTGGAGAAGTTCTGGGTGACGCAGCCCTTGCATGTCCACGATGTCGATCCGTTGCCCTGCCGCGGGGCCGACGATGACCTTACTTTCTTGTCGCCCTTGGCCATGGCGGCGGGCTGTTGGCTGTTGCGGTGACTGGCCAGCAGGCCCGCGGCGGCGTCCAGCCGCAGCAGCGTGCGAGCCCAGGCTCGCCGCCGCCTCCGGCGCCGGTGCCAGGCGGGATCGGGGGCGCGGATGGCCGCGCCGCCCGTGGCCGCGCGCGCTCTAGCGGTCGTCGCTGCACCTGTTGCAGCACCCAAATCGACACGCCTCGAGCTGTCGCGGCAACTTGAGCCAAAATGGCGACAGCGGAGGGAGGGGGGAGGAGGGAGGAGGGAGGAGGGAGGGTGAAGAGGAGGGTGAAGAGGAGGAGGGAGGAGGAGGGAGGAGGAGGGAGGAGGAGGAGGAGGAGGAGGAGGGGGAGGAGGAGGAGGAGGAGGGGGAGGAGGAGGAGGAGGGGGGGAGGGGAGGGGGAGGGGGACGAGGAGGAGGAGGAGGAGGAGGAGGAGGAGGAGGAGGAGGAACAGGAGGGAGGAGAGGAAGGAGGAGGAGGAGGAGGAGGAGGAGGAGGAGGAGGAGGAGGAGGAGGAGCTCCAATGCAGCGCGCCACGCCATGCCGGCGAAAAACCTCCCCGTCGCGAGTTTTTCCCAGCGCGAGGGGGTCGAGGGACGGGGCGCGAGGGGACGCGGAGAGGGCGGGGTGCTCGACGGCTTGCAGAAGGGGGGGAGGGGGGGGGGCGGCGGCCGTCCAGGAAGGCGCCCTCCTCGCCCTCCTCGCCCTCGACAGGCGCGCCGTCCTCGCCCTCCTCGCTCTCAGGAAGGCGCCGTCCTCGCCGTCCTCGCCCTTCCTTGTGCACGCCGCCACGGCGCGCACAAAGAAGGGCCAGCATCGCGCATGTCGTCGTCGTCGTCGTCGTCGTCGTCGTCGTCGTCGTCGTCGTCGTCGTCGTCGCGTAGGTGTAGCATGGCCGAGCCCGCCTCGCCGCGGGAGGAGCAGGACGGGGCCGCCCGCCGGCGGGCGCTGGCGCGCCAGCTGCTGGAGCGGGCGCGGCCGCTGGTCGAGGACCGGCGCACGAGTAGGGCAGCGACCCCCCCTCCCCACGAGAAAAGAAGAAATCAAACCATACAGTGGAGGCCCATGCCAAGAAACACCCTGCCTACCTCCAGGGTGCCCTGGGTGTCTTGGGTTTCGATGGTTTTGCCGTGGAACGCGTGGCGTTCCCACACCAAGAATCGATGAACGACCTGGGGTCCCAGGGTTGGGTTTCGTGTGGAAGGTTTCTTGTGGACGGGCCTCCACTGTCAACATGAACTTTTGGCACATGTTCTGCAGCCCTCACTAGCAGCACATTGCACAGGCAACCCCCGGCCGACTCCGGAAGACCAGCGCCACATCGCCGACACCTCGTGTAGAAGAAGAAGAAATTATCCTGCGACGTACCCAACCCATTTGCATCAAGTGGCCCGATGGATCGGCGAGTATCGTCGTGAAGAACGCAGCCCCCCAGGAATGGCGAGCTCTAATCCTGATCTGCGGTGAGTACCCTCTCTGCTGGCGTCCCCAGCAGCCCTCGAAAGTGGCGACAGTTTCGCAGATCGCAGCCCCCCAGGGATGGCGCGCTATTATTCTGGTCTGCGGTGAGTACCCTCTCTGCTGGCCTCCCCAGCAGCCCTCGAAAGCGGCAACAGTTTCGCAGATCGCAGCCCCCCTGAGTCCGCGAGGGGGAGGGAGGAGAGAGGAGGGGGGGCGGGAGCGGAAGGAGAAGCGCAGGCGGTGCTGTATTCAAAACGAGAACCCAACACAGGAGGAGGAGGGAGGCAGGATGAGAAGGAGGAGAGAAGAGGAGGAGGAGACGCGACCCCACTGCTCTCTTCAAAACAAGAACCCAACCGAGGAGGGTTGGGAACAAACAGAAAACGCCATAAACATGAGACTTGTGGCGCTACGCGCGGAATTCTTGGATCACCGCGGGGACCCCCCGGCGGCGCCTCCTGCGCCGCCCTTGGCGCGCTCCGCGCGCCAGAGAGGGGGGTCCCGCGCAGATCAAAGAAATCCGCGTGGAGAAACAGCAGTTTATGTTTAAGGCGTTTTTCTTGTACACAAGGCGTCGGCGATGCGGCGCTGGTCTTCCGAAGTCGGTCAGAGGTTGCCTGTGCAATGTGCTGTGAGTGAGGGCTGCAGAACATGTGCTGCAGATATGCTTCGACACTGTGGTCGAAGAGCGCGGTCCGAGTAGGCGCATGGTCGAACCTGGGGCAAGTGTCGTGAGGGTTGGCGGAAAGGTATAGGGCTGCGCAGTTTGAAGCACTTCGTGGTAGCTGTCAGGTAAACAACGAATAGGTCAAGAGCCAAACACTTCACGCACCATATCACGTAGGGGCCAGCGATTGCACGGGCAAGTTTGTTAGCCTGGATGGGCCAATAAGCAACTGTATGGCCGAATTGAAATTGGTCACCACAAATTTTCTTCTTGCCCATCGCCCCATCGAAAACCCTCATCCCCGTTCTCAAGAATGAACGACTGTGCTTCTGCGCGCGGTGGCAGACGGCAATAGGGCTGCGTACTTGGGGGAGCTCTTACGCAGAGGCCTGCTGCAGGGGAAGGAGAGGATCAGGTTGGTGAGGGTTCTTCTGGTGAGGATCAGTTAGGTGGGTGAGGATTCGATTGGAGAGGATTACTTTGTATCTGCGAGGAGCTGTAATTTGGGATGCTGCCTTCACTTCGATGGTGGCCGGGATCCATTCGACCACTGCCGCGCTCTCATGCGAGAAATTCAAGTTGCGCGCGTGCGTTCCTGGAAGCTCGCGAATTCTCTCGCAGTCTGTAGTCGATTGCTTGTTGGCGACGCTTGAATCAACGAACCAACGTCAGGCATTCGGTTCGATGCGGCTATGACTGCTAGTCATTGGTTGATATTAGCGCCGCTGCTTGCGGTGAAAGCTCATGCCGAGCACTTGGAAAGTGCCGCTGCTAACGATGGGCACGATGCAGGAATTGCTAATGCGAGTTAAAGCGAAATAATACCTACAAAGGAAGACGCATGATCAGCGTTTCGTTGTCAGTTCTGCCCCCCGCGTTCGCAATGTCAAACGTTCCGTTTACCCCCGTGTTTTCCTTGATTGTATTGCCCTGAGTTTTATTCCGGGAATGTGTTTTTTTCTCTCCCCGGAAGACCGTTTTTGTTGTTGCAGCCACGTATTTGCCAGCCTTCGCTCAGCTTCCGATGCTTCTCCTTTCTCCTCAATCTCTCTTGCCCGCTCGAGATGAGCTGCGTGCATTGGGAAGGCGAACTTGCTTCCAAAACAACTGCGTGTATTGGGAAGGCGAACCTGCTTCCAACAGCAGCTGAGCGCATTGGTATGCGAACCTGCTTCAAGCAAAAGCTGCGTAATCATTGGGAAGTCGAACCTCCTTGAGATGATCTGCGCGTGTTGGGAAGTTGCACCTGCCTCCAGAACAACTGCGTGCAGTTGGAAGCAGGTTCGACTTCCCAGAGTGCACGCAGCTCACCCCCTGCCTGGCACCCGAACTCGGCGAGAGGGCCCCGCGCTGGCAGCCCCGGCGCCCTGGCCTGGGCCTGGGCCGTCCGAGCGGGCAGCGTCGGACCCGTGGCCCGGGGGCCCCCCAAACGGTGTGGTGACCACACCGTGTGGCGAGTCGGTGGGGAATCTGGGGGGCCACATGCGAACCGTACCCCTACCCCCCGCGATTTCTGAGGGGGAGGGTGGGGTTCACTTCGTTTGGGAGCTCCCGAGCGAAGTGAACCCCACCCTCCCCCTCAGAAATCGTGGGGGGTAGGGGTAGGGTTCGCATGTGGCCCCCTAGATTCGGGGTCACCGCACGGTTTCGCGACTCGGGTCGTTCTCCGAGGATGTCTCGGGCGATTTGGACATCCGATGTCCCAAAACCGTGCGTTGGCGGACCGTGCGGTGGGGTCTTGAGGGATTTCGAGGTCACCGCACTGTCTGTCGCCGCACCGTTTCGGGACTCCAAAGTGGCGCCAGCATTCGACGGCAAATCATCCATTTAACACGTACTGCCTAAGGCGACTGCCAGAACTTTCTTCCCTCCCCGTCTCTTCCTTGTCCCTCTTCCTCCTTGTCCTCCTCTTCCTCCTCCACCTCGTTCTCCCTCCTCCTCCCTCATGCCCCCCTCGATGTAAAGCTCACTGACCATCAGACAAGACGAGGGCGCATGTATACCTCTTAATTCCATCTTTAGCTTCGATTAGCGTTTGGGAGTGGATGAGATAGCGCCGATCTAGCGTCGATTAGCGTCGATGAACGTTGATGCAGCATCGATTTATCGTCGACGTAGCGTCGATTTAGCGTCGATCTGCGTCGATTCGTAAGAGCCGACTAGCTGATATGGGAAATTTCCGTGAGTTGCCACCGAAGCCAGCGAGGAG